ACGAGCGTTCTTGCTCATTTTGCTTCCGAGAAACATGCAAAACGGGACGGAAAACATGAAATTTTGCAATAATCTTACGCCACCCTTGCACAAAAGGACGATAATTTTTCATAGTTTCATAATTTCATAGACAACAGAAGACTGTATTTTTTCTACTTAATCCCCCCCCTGAATCTAAAGCTGGATCCGCCCCTGCACTGAGGTAGAAGTTTGGAACTGAAAAAGTCCCAAAATTCATGCCACTGATGCAAAAAAGACTCGAATGCTCCTCCTCCAAACAGCTAAGCCATGCACTAAACCTACAATATACAGGGTGTTTTTGATCAGTTTCATTTAATCCTTCAGGGTTCGTTCGTGTTAATCACGAGGACGCTCCAGATAATTCTGGGCTTGAAATCAGGAAATTTTGGCAGTGAGTGCATAAATCTCGCGTAAAACATCGGGGCTGAGGCGGGCGCCCAACATCCATCACAAAATCCAATCTAAACTTCACGGGGGGGATGACAAAGTGGCGACCTTATAAATATGCGGCCATATCTTGGCGGGATTATGCGCCCATATTTTACGCCCGAATGGCTCGCATATGGAATTCATACTGGCCTTTTGTATGCAAACGCGCCGCCCCGACATTGTGCCATTTAAGGGCGGCTTTCCGATGTCAAACGCTCTTTAAATGTTATGACCGCCCGCACATCAATAATCGAGCCCGGAGTAAAGTGGTCTAAATCATTGGAGGATTGGGAGGATTCTCAATTTGGCCGTCCTTGATATATGGCCGCTTAAACTCCCTAAAGGAGAAATCGTAAAAATATGAATCAAGGATCATCCTTGATCATGGGACAGGTTTTTTGAAAGCTCAAAGTCAGGGGCGGCGGCCTAGGCACCTCAGTCTAAAACATTCTAAGGGATGTTTTAGGCTGGGGCGCGCCACTGGCTAATTCCCGTTAGTCCCAGAGAACGTGTGAGCCAGTGACGGTCCTTTTAGAGTTATTGAAAAGAGCGGATCGTGTATCCCGTGGCCGTAAAGCGGGCGAATGCTTGGGCCCCCCGGGACCAAAGCCACGCCGCGTTTAAGTTTTACGTCCGACCAAATGCGAATATTCAATCATACAGGCCAATGTCGTATTTGCCTCCATAAAGCGACTTGACTCGACTTGGAGCCGTAAAACGCCATGTCGTTTAAATGTGCTCCGGATATCCGGATTCGTGTATCCAGAAGCCGGATCGCCGCCCCATCTATTAGCCAGCTCGTTGCGAATGAGCATTAAATACATTAAATAGAGCCGAATTGAGCAGTCGTCCCAATGGGGAAAAACGGTCGCGCTCCCATTGGGCCCATCTTTCTCTTCTTATGACAGGGCCCCCATCACATCATGTCCTGATTAAATTTACAGTATCATCGCATTAAACCGTATTTTAAATTGGAGTATTCCTGCGGCTTGACTGCTCATGTGCGTGACATTGCCTCTACGCTTATAGAGGCTCTATAAGCGATAGAGGTGCAACCAAGGGATTAATAGATTTGAAATCATTGTTGCCAGCTTTCTGAAGGCCGGCGCCCCATCCTCAGTTTTCTGCCATTATTACTCAACAAGTCCACATGACACTTGAACAAGCTTGGAAATCCACTTCGAATAGAAAACTGTAATTCTGCAGTTAGTAGGGAGAAGTAAATATCGCAATTGTCTAACGAGCCACAATCAAGGGCGGATCCAGGGGGGGTCATGGGGGTCATGACCTCCCCCCCCCATTCAATTCTCTATCCAACGATGCCAAAACGAATTCTCTGGGTCGAATGGTTCTTGAGAAAAAAGCAGCGTCATGTTCAAGTGGATTTTGCAACTCAAGAAAAAAACCACGCAAATCTAAAACTTCTTGAATTCAAGCATTTTTCGGGAAAACTGTCAACATTTCCTTTCTAAAAATGCCATTTATTTCTGCCTAGAATGATGTACACATGAGCGATCTTGCTCATTTTGCCTCCGAGATATGAGCAAAAACGGGCCGGAAAACATGAAATTTTGGCATAATCTTGAACCTAAGTGTTTGATATTCAAATT